TTTTTTTCCCTTCCCTCCCCGCTTCCCCCCTCCCTCATGAACCCTCGCTAATTTATAAATTATTATTTTGTGGGACCGTAACTCTGAACAGGAGTAGTAAGTCTTCTCTTTCTCCCTCAGAGCAGCTGGTGGTTTTGAACTACTGCCCTTGAAATTAGTAATGCACCTTCTAACCATTACACACCAGGGCTCCAGAGATGGGTTACACCTGAGGAATTAATCCATTAACACTATTGAGGATAATGGGAGCCACCCCAGGGGGGGGGAAAAACAGTGATTGGAATAGTCACAGTTTGAGGTATCAGAGTGAACCAAAAGCTTTCAGTTTGGAGAGAGAGAAAAGTAAAGGTGCGTGCGTGTGCGTGCGTGTGTGCTAGCTCTGTCCACTACTGAGAGGGCTTTAGTGTATGTATGTGTTTTAGCTCTGTCCACTACTGAGAGGGCTTTAGAGCAGTACCGCCCCAAAGAGCTTGGTGTCTGAATGCCATTTTACATGAAAAGGAACTGGGTGTCGTCCGTGTAACTCATGACACTCAACAGTTGATCAGTGTGAAAATTGTCGACAGGATTCTAATTTGTGGTGTAAACTTTTCTCCAAAAACACAATTGAAAGAAGAAAATTAAGATATGTATTTGATTATAGCAGTACAGGCTTGTAAATGGCAAGATGAGCCTTGAATATATTATTGAGCAAGAAAGTAAGGAAGTGTGGGTGAAAATTTTTGCAAATCCCATGTTTGGTAAAGTTTAATATCCATAAACAAAAGGAGCTACATCAAAATTAGAAAGGGACAAGCAACACAATTAAAAAATGGACAGAGAATTTGAGTCGACATTTCTCGAAGATTTACAAATGTCCACTGAGCATGTGAAAGGTTGGTTAACACCCTTAGTCCTTAGGGAAATGCAAATCAAAACCACAATGAGATACCACGTCACACCCCCTGGGGTGGCTGGCATGAAAACAGAGCCAGACAGTGACAAGTGTTGGCTAGGATGATGTTTGCATTGCTGTCCCTAGGTAAACAGTTTCGGAAGTGATAAAAGGTTAAATGTCAAGCTAACAGATGACCCAGCAATTCCACTCCTATTGACAGATTCTATAGAGATTTTTTTTTAATAAATCATTTTATTGAAGGCTCATACAGCTCTTATAACAATCCACATATCAATTGTATCAAGCACATTTGTACATATGTTGCCATAATCATTTTCAAAACATTTGCTTTCTGCTTGAGCCCTTTGTATCACCTCTTCTTTTTTCCCTTCCCTCCCCGACACTCCCATCTATAGAGATTTTAAGACAGATTCAAACAGATTTTTGTGGGGGTGGGGCAAAGGACAGTGTCCATAGCAGCAATATTTCCAGTAGCCAAAAGGTAGCAACAACCAGTTGCTTCAACAGATGAATGGGCACACAGCATGTGGCAGTAGCATGTTGCTTAGCCATGGAAAGGACTGAAGTTCTGCTATACAGGGTGGATGAACCTTGAACGTAGTAGGCTGAGCAAAATAAGCCTGATTCCTCTTGTCTGAAAGACTGAGTATAGGCCCATCCATAGAGCAGGGAGTACAGAGAAGTGACTGCTTACTGCGGGTTCCTGTTGGAGTGATTCAAACGTTCTGCAAACTGGTTAGTGACTATGATCGCACAACACTGAACGAAAGCCACTGACATGAACATTTTAAAAACGGTTAAAAGGACAGATTTGGCGTTCTGTCTACTTTACCACAGCCAAACATTTGGAAAAGGCAAAGAAAAGGGGCAGGTTCAGAGGTGACAGGAGCAGAGCCAAAGGAGAGCCGAGCCAGCCCAGATCTGTGTCCAGGACAGTTCAAAAATAAAAATTAATGACAGCAACAGATGGCAATGTGCTGAATAAGATAGAAATTTATAAATCCCTACACAGGGTAAGTGAATACAGGGAGGGGGGCAGTAAATAGAAAGCTTTTTTGGGGGAGGGGGGCAGTAAATAGTATGGCATCTAACAGAAGGGATGGTGGCATTAGAAACCCCTAGTTGGCATCCATCACCGATGTAATTCATGCAGGAAGTAC